TGTCAGCGAAGCACTCAGTGTCAACGCCTAAGCGGGAGCACACACTCGTTTAAGAGCAGCTCACCACTTAAGTGCATCTCACCATGTGGATCTCGGGAATTTTACCAAGAAGAAGGCAGCCACAATTCAGTGGGCTAACCTCGCTTGGAAACAGCCTTCCCTTTCTGCTGATTTCCTAAACAGATCAGAGAGGTCCAAAGGCTTGCGTTCTGTGTATGTAAAACCGCAATGAAGCTGATACCTCTAGTTAACAGCAGCTGATACCTCTGGTAACAGCAGTAACTACCTCTAGGCGGAGTGTGTGATGCATGTCGACTACGTCGAATGTGAGCGACTGAAAGGGAACACCTTTTATGATGTACATTTTTCAATTTCAATGGAACTTAAATATCCAAACCAATGCTATGTGCTGCATGGATAAATGTGCTCATTAGGGGCTTGCATGTTATACACACAAATGAAGATCTGCTTCAAGGAGACCTGGTTTTTCTGACACCTGTACTGAACTGTAATGGACAACATTGTGACGATGAGATAAATCCTTTTTAGTATCGCATCTTGTGACATCACGTCCTGTTTATGGTTCGTTTAGACATCTTTGGTTTGTGTTGCATTCATATTTCAGTCGAATCGGACCAGAGTTTATTTGGTATTGGAGAGAGACCCATCTTTTCAGCATTCTCAGTCCTCTTGTTTGGTACGCACCAGGGTTCGGAAGGCAGCGTTCACACTTATTCAAAACAACTGCACTAACACCAAACCTCCCAAATGTGAACACACCCTAAATGTTATAATTGTTTACAGTTGAGGATTGATGAAACAGCAATTAATTTTCATCAAGTTATTTATTTTATTTTTTTACTGTATTGTTTTTTTTTTTTCTTATAAATTTAGCTTTAATATACAGTACTTAGTAGCCTATAGTTATAGCTGCTTCATTTGCAGGTCATATTGTACATGAAAAACTTAGTAACGTTCAGTAAAGTAACTTAACATTTAATGATAAACATAAATATTTTATATTTGCATTATATATTTGAATTATACATATATATTTAACATAAACATCTAGTTGAAAATATCCTTATTATTTTGCCATGATATAACTCTTTTTATGAGGTCACTACAGAATCTGCTCTATTTTATATGTGAGGTGTTGGTTTGTTTGTGAACAGGCTGGTTTGGCAGCATCAAAGTGCTTAGATATTTACTCATCCTCCTGCATTTATTCACAGTGTGGGACACAAGAAGTGAGAAAAAGACAGATAAGTGCTATGGAGGTTTTGATAGTTTCTACTGTGCACAGAACCACATAAACACTGGTAGTACCATATTTTTTAGCTCAAGATGCAGTATATCTTTGATTATAAACCTCTTTTTCTTTCTGTATAGGTATTTTCTGTATTTTGTGTTCTGTATAATTCTGTATAGGTGAAAATATCAATGTACAATGTTACAAATTAATGATCTTTTTCTAAGTGTAATCGCATAGCACCATGATTTCTCCACTCTGGTGGATATAATGAATCTTCTGCTAATCAAATTTAACCACAACTTGGGGGGGGGCTTGGGGGAGGGGTGAAGCTTGACCCAAATACAGAATGAGAGGAAGAAATTATAATGAAGAGATTAGATAAAAAAAAGAACAGCTGGACAATTGTATTTGTTTATTTATTTTCTCCTAAAGTTCTCTTGAATCATACCGTACATCTGGATACATTCAAGAGAACTTTAGGAGAAAATAAATAAACAAACACAATTCCCAAAAACAGGGCATCCAGCCATCTGGGTAATAATATTATAAATTGAATTTTTTAATTGCATAAATAGAAAAACGGATATTTTAACTGAAACAGTGCTGCTGGGAGGTGGTAAGCATCCAGCATGAGAAAGCTTGCCTCTCAAAGCCTAGTGATCTCTATTGATCGCAAATGGCCATTAGAGAAGGTAAATAAAGCAGCAACAAAGACCACCTAACAAGTAACCAGACAGAACTCAGGGAAATCTAAGAACTTTAAGAATTCTTTAGAAGACAGAGGAGTTCTAGAGTTCAAAGAAGCAAAGTTCCAGGATGATCTACAGTAACTAACAAAGTGTGACAATTTCTGTACATCACACACTGCATGAATCTGAATCATCTGTCAGAACAAATGCATATGAGAAGGTTTTCTTTTTTAATGTGCCCTTTACATTTCTGGGAAACCCAGAATTTGTCTATAGGTTCTTTTTAAAGCTGTTTGAGCCCTGAATATCATCCTGTCTGCATGGGACAAGGACTTTAAAAGTGCACCGACTGGAGTCTGCACTAATGTCAATGGTCCTTGCTGTCAATCACAGATGCTGCATATTGATTGGTGGTGGGCAAAATGCTAATTCTACACATGCTTCACTTTAATGTGAACTGAATGAGTGTTTAGTTTGTAATCTCACACATACACTCACACGTGTTAAAATGGACCCAATTCGATTACTAGAGGAGTAGCAAAGCGCACACATGCTCATATTACAGTCACACACTTGGTCTGACTTGCCCTTTGACCACAAACAGACAAGATTTTCTGTCTCCCACAGCCACTACAAACTCCACTAAATGATTTAGAAACCATAGGAACAGCTAGTAATAGTAGACAGTGAAATGACCGCAATAAAATATAAATGGGCTCATACAAAGAGAGCACACGGGTGTAAATCAAACCTCTCAGAATACAAAAACAACCCTAATACATCTTGATAGCATAATCACATTTCACTATTTCATATTTAGTAGAGCAATAAAACTAAATTACTAGATTTCTGATGTTTTTCCAGCCATTTTATACAAGGAAGTGAATCAGCCAGTGGGACGACAGGATGCCCTTTGGTTGCCATGGTGACAGCAGGTGGGAGGGGAAACTGAAGTCCAAACACCTGATGTTTACGTGTGTGCAAATGAAAGAGCTAGACGCTTGCTGCTGAATAGAGTCCCTTTAGAGACCATTAGAAGAGTTGAGACAGATTAAGTAAAAACAACAACTGGAACTGTCATGACGGCAGCGTTGTTATTGGTAACTAAAAGCTAAAACAATTTTTTTAAAATTTAAATTAAGCTGAAATAAAATATAAATATTAGATGAAAACATAAACTTAAAAAAACTTGGTAGCTAATTGAAATAAAATAAGTTTAATAAGTATACTAAACTTCTCAAATTGAAATAAAACTGAAAAAAAGACAAAGCACATAACATTATTCAGATTATTTATAAAAAATAAATATTTAAAAAAATGTAAAAGTATTATTTTTAGCACTTATTTTTAGTATTATTTATTTATAAAAAATAAATAATACTAAAATTAAACTGCAAGACAGGCAGTGTTGTTTCCAATTCAAATGCTTTCTGAGTTCTGTCTGCGAATAGAAAATTGATCTTTAATATGTCTTTAACTCAAGTCAAGTGCTTTATCTATTTATTTAAGACGCTTGACAGTGATGACAGGAAAATAATGTAACAAAGTTTGTTTTGTTTTTAGAAGATATAGAAGAAAATAGTGTCATACAAAGCCGCTCTGCATGGAGCAAACAGTGAAGTCAACGTCCAGCTCAGTTCAGTTCTCAAACAATGGTGTCAATGCATGATCAATACTTTTGTTGGATATTAAGTGTCCCCGACCAAGCAAGCCACACTTACTAAAACTTACTAAAATGTTGAATGTTACTGTTTACAAATATCCACTCTGATATTCCTTGTACATGCAATTTACCAAAAACATGAAATAGCTACTGTCAGAACCCAGAACAATCCACAAATTCGCAATCATGTGTTACCACAGTAATCAATCAAGTCAGTACTACTTTAGGGGGGCTTCCACCAATCAAGTTCCACTACTTCAGGGTGTGTTACCATGGCAATGTGACAACAGACAACCACCCTCCCCCGTTGACCTCACCCTGAGGGAAAACTTTTTTCCTAAGCTTTGTTCCAGAACTCCTGAATGGATTGTCTCCAATTCATCTCACCATGAGAAATGGGATGGGTCACTAAAGAAGCTGGCTTCAGAGGATTACAATAAAGCACATCACAACCTGCGACAAAGCAGCACAAAAGCACTAGAAACAGCCCTAAGGGTCTCTGTGGGGCATAAGAAAATCACATCAGCAGCAGAAAACTTCACATTCATTTATTTTTGTGTACAGTTCTCCTGTCAGTAGCTAGACAACACATTTATACTGTGTGTGACTATGACAGATTTCAGATGATGTAATGTTTACAGACCATGTTCCAGGCACAATAGGGTTAAATAAAGGAGGCACTGAAGGCTTTTGAGCAGGAACCGGGGAAGACTTTTCTTATTAAATGCTGAACAACATATTCAGATTAAAGAGAGGTGACTGACTCATGGGAGCAGCGAGGTTACACCAGAAATACTGTGATCTTTAGTGATGCGTCCTATGGCGTGGCAGCACTAAATATTACACAGAATAAAACCTGAGTGTTAATGAGACGGAAATACAGGATGGATCAATTAAATCAAAAGGGGAAGACAGGGAGAATTACGGACAAAACTGCAGAATCAATAAATGAATACAGCTGTCAGTCTACACTCGTAGCATTTATTACAGCCTACACATAGCATAATAAGCATTTAACTTTAATATTCTCCTCGACTTGTGAGGTCGCATTAGGCAAATATTCCTGCTTTAGGCTGACACAGTAGTAATATATATATATATATATATATATGGCTCATTTCAGCTATATTTCAAATGAGAATATTACCAATACTATTATTGTATCAAAACATAATAGAAATATATGCCTGTGCGTTAAGGCAAGAATCACGAGTAGGATGTAAGTTAAGATTTTCCAGAATAAACCCGTTCAGTCTATAAATTAATGGAATACGCATATCTATACAGCAGGGCATCGCTAGAAGAAACACATCTTAACGTTAATCATAAGTTAGAAGCAAAGCGAAATTTTCGGATCTAAATATGCACATTAAACTGCGTTGAGAAAACTTACCTTGTACAGTTTAAGGAAAAGATGTACTAGTTTTTTTTTCCTGTTGCGGCAGGTGCGTGTATCCGATGGTAGGTGAGTGTGTGTCGGTATCACCGGCATTCTGCGCGTCGAGCGCTGCAGCGACGCTCTCCAAACTGCAGTGCATTACAGCCAGCGAACACACTGCGCATGCGCTTGTGGTGTGTGCCACGAGACCGCGCACGGGCTGCGCGCGCTCGCGACTGGTTCAGGTGAATCTTGGGACGGGTCAAGTGTGACGTATGGACGTAGGCCATGCCACTCGCTGGTGACAGAGTGTAACATAATATCCTAGGCTACTGCTCAGACACAATTATTAATATTGACATACATCGCTGGCTGTTTATTAAACATATGCAGCTCTATTTGGCAACCATGGAGATGACGGGCCAATTATCTAGATACAAACAGTAAGTTGGTTGAGGGTAATTTTGCAGACCCATTTTCTTCTAACAAGGCATTGTAATAAATGTGCACATCAAATGTTTTTAGGTACAGTATGAGTAACATTAGTTTATTATAATGTTTGTTATACTATGTTATCTGATGTGTTCTGCAGAAATGGGCAAATGGGCCTGTTTTATTTATTTATTTCTTAAATCAAAAATGCTACAGGTATCCTACAAAGCAGCTTTGATAGGAGCGCCTTTGAAATTGTCTTGGTCAAATAGTTATTCTGTAATGCTAGCAGAAAGTCAATGAAAACGCTAGGTCAACTAGTAAGAAAGGTAACAGTGCCCTCTGTACGCATAATGCGGTATTGACTGTTTGATAAATATGCCATAGTACCTGTATATCCTGTGAACTGAAACAATATTACAAGCCAAATAAAGAATGGTAAAAAAAGGAGTATCACTAAAGTATTTAATAAATGTGAATAAAAAAGAGAATTATACATAAGAATTAATAATGAATTTTTATTCAAAATTCAACAATCAGTACTTCAGTCCTTTTTTTGCCCTTAAACACCCAATCCATTATTTATCAACAAATCCTCAAAAAAGTACACAGCAAAATCTTTATACCCAAAGTAAAATACAGGATTTTACAAATATATAGATGTGACTACTGTGTCAGTCAGTTCTCATACAGTTACTGTACATTGTTATCTGTAAACTGTTAAGACAGAACTGAAAAGTCACAGAGAAACTGAAGGTAGTTCATCAAATGAAAGGAGGCAAGAACAGGTGAAAACCAAGTGTGAGGCTGCTTAAAGTTTGCAAGATGAAATTACATAATCTTGAATTCTAGCTATAAGTATCATTTGATTTGGCATCCCTATTTTTTATATTAATTTGTTCTACAGCAACCTCCTTTGACATAGTTTCCCTCCCCCATCTGAGTTGGAACTGGGTTAATCTAATTTGACCAAATGTTATACTTTTGCATTTACAGAGTTACATTTATTGGACTCTTACTACAATAATCAGAACGGAATGTTTTAGAAAATCTCTTCGTCCTTTATATATATAATGTATATATTAAAAAAAAAAAAAAAAAAAAAGTTAAGCAGAGAAAGAAAAACAAAACCCAAACATATAAACAGCTGAGGCAGCTCACATAGTATTTCATGTCAAATTAATTTGGTATACATTTTACTCTCTATACAAAATACTCTCCTGGCGTATTTATTAAAGAAATGGAATGCAAGGAGAGATCGTTTAAAAATGAAACAAAGGAAAAAAGAAAGAGAACACAGATTGTAAATGTCAAGTTAAATAAAGGTTGCTGGTCTACGTGTACGCATATTTGATTATCCAGGGCTGCACATATGGCTGTGTTTATTGGTCCATTACATAATCTGTAGGATAGAAATGGGAGTACATTTGTTTTCCACAATTCCTGACAACACTGAAGATGATTAAAATTGATGATTGACAAAGAGCAAGGCACATCAAGTCAGATATTAAGCCCCAACCCCTCACCATGGAATCTACAAAAGTTTCCCTATACACATTTTACTAAACTTTAAGGATAAAAAGCCAAAGTTTAAGCATTTATAACATCCTATTATACTGCCCTTTTTTATTTGAATTGTGAGAACAGTAAATGCATCATAGCAAAACTCCCAAGTTTGTACTAAAACGGCTAACCTTTCAGTTGAACGTGCCCTTGAAGGCGGCCGTGTGGAAATGTATGCCATTGTACTTGATGACAATATAACAATGCAGTTACATAAGAGTTAGGAGAGGTGGACACAAGTGAGGTTTAGAATTATGTCTCAGACTGGTAATGGTTTTATTTCAAGATCAATTTGATTTTGAATCATCTTTGTGGAAAAACTACTTTAAAGGCTTTACAACATTCACATGGTGCTTCATTTCTTTCTGCTTCCTGTAAAATTGTCTGTATTTCTGAATACCCTAAAGTGCTGGTAACTTGATTCAAAAACAACAAGATTGTTTTTTTGTTGTAGTTGTTGTTGTTGTGCAAGAGAGTGCAAACTCTCTGACAAAAGAAAAAGCATTTATTTTAAAACTAAAACTTCAAGTGTAAAGTCAGAGATAACAAGGATAAAGAGAGGGGCTAAATATTTCTCTCTTTTATCAAACATTTTCCTGTCTTAGATATTTATTGACAGGATTTAGTGTCCTGAAAGCAGTAAAAAGGGAAAGGAGTGATAGTTTTTTTTTTGGATTTGGTTTCCTTTAGGAGTGCGCATATTTCAGGAATGCTGACTCAATCAGTGCTCCTCCAGCCAAGAGGGGGTTTCTCCTCCTGGTAACTTTAGCTTGATGTGAAACTGTTTAAGGGTTTGTTCCAGCTGCTGTTGGTTGCCCGCGAAGTACGCTGCGATGGCGTTATGGAAGAGAATCAGCTGGTTGTGCAAAACCTTCACCTGAGGAAAAGGGAATAAAAACTCTCAGTGACTCACACCGTGAGAATGCAATTCAGAACTCAAAGTACTGAAAAGGAATAAAAAAAAAATCATCAGTATAAAAGAGAATTCAAGAGACACATCAACTATTTCAACAATAATAATAAAAAAAAAATGTATTGCACATTTTTACTGAAATGAGCCCACATTTTATAACCGATTATTTCCTAAAATATGCCTGGCAAATTTAGAGTAGCCCAGACAACCGCAGCGCTAACCAGACATTATTGTGCATCTTACATCAACTGAATAATAAAGATGCCTAAATCAGTTTAAAGGAGTAGTTCACTTTTAAAAAAAAACTTTTGCTGATAATTTACTCACCCCCATGTCATCCAAGATGTCCACGTCTTTCTTTCTTCAGTCGAAAAGAAATTGAGGTTTTTGATGAAAACATTCCAGGATTTTCTCCATATAATGGACTTCATTGGGAACCAAACGGTTCAAGGTGCGAATGAGAGTTTCAGTGCAGCTTTAAAGGGCTTTAAACGATACCAGACGATGAATAAGGGTCTTATCTAGGACCCTTCGAATCATAACTTGAAAAAAGATTTGTTCAATTTGATGAACGACTTTGAACAGGAGTCACGAACAGTCTCCTCACAGAACAGAGCAAGGCGAGCATTTGTGCTTATAAAACTTAAACTTTTTTTTTTGTTGACCGATCGTTTCAATTGATAAGACCCTTATTCAGTCCCTCCAGGATTTCGCGGGCCTTTTTTGTGATTGTTGCGGCCTAAAATGCCTGATGTTGCGGCCGCTTTTTTAAAAAGTTGCGATAAAAGTTGCGATGTTCTTCTGCATGTTTTTATAGGTTAAAACGGCAAAGATAGATAGATTTTTAACTTAAAATGCCCATATTATGCTTTTTGGCTTTTCCCCTTTCCTTTATTGTGTTGTTATATTTTTTGTGCATGTTATAGGTTTACTAAGAGAGAAAAGTCCAAAGTCCACCCCAAAGGGACTTATTATGTCCCACAGAAAACACTGTTCATCATCTGCATCTGCTCTATTGTAGTCCAGAATTGACTTAAGAGACAAAGTCACACACGAACAAACTAACTAACCATTAGTAACCATAAAAGGCAAAACAAACGATTTGAAGACACAGCAAAACCTAACAAACTAAGCTTCTTTTTTTTTTAAACAAGATCTGCACCTGCAAAAAAGTCAATGTGCAGAACCTCACAAACATTAAGCAGCATTTATGTTGAAAGATGCCAATACTAATAAAGTGCAAAATACAGTTTTAGGAATAGCCACTAAAGTTAAATGGTGGAAAAACCAAATGTTTGATAATGTATTTTAATATAGCTAATATAATATAATATAGCCGGATATCCAATAAAGCTTAATTTTTTTTTGTCAGACAATAGAACGAGTCGGGTAGCTATTTTTTATGTGTAAAATTTTCTGAATTGAGAGAGTTCGGGAACTGGGTGAACTAATGCACTGTGATAGTGAGTAGCCTATTACAAGTGATAAACACAAGAAAAGAAAGGAAAATAAAATGGTCAAACTCAATTCTTTAAATATAAAACAAAAGAGAAGCAGATAAGTGATAAGTCCGTGGAAACAACACTGCTCATTCGCGTCTGTCAGCTGCCGTGCTGCTCCTCTACTGCAGCCGTTCACTGAACATGGACGCAGAGAGAGGTGTGACGGCAGGGAGAAAGCAAACCTCGCGCTCGCAGGATTGTGCTGGCAACATTTGGTTACTGAGGTTTGTCCAAAAAGCCGCTAGAGTCGCTTTTTTATATCACTAAATATAGCGACAAAGACTAAGTTGGCAACATTGGCCTTTTCTGTTATTTTTGTAGGTAGCCTAAAGGTGAGACGTTGGCAGTCCACATCTGCTGCGTCTTCTGAACAAAACAAGTGAGTTTGCTGACGTATGACGACGCTTTGCAGGAGACCGCGGCGCGATGATTCGTCAAAGTTGCAGAAAAGTTGCGGTGATTTTTCAAAATTGCAAGGCACACTGAATTCACGTGGATTTGTTGAAGTTGCGTTAATAGTTGCGATCGCGACATCGCGAAATCCTGGAGGGACTGCTTATTCATCGTCTGTTGTCGTTTAAAGCCCTTTGAAGCTGCAATGAAACTCTCATTTGGACCTTGAACCATTTGGTTCCCATTGAAGTCCATTATATGGAGAAAATCCTGGAATGTTTTTCATTAATTTCTTTTCGACTGAAGAAAGAAAGTTATGGACATCTTGGATGGCATGGGGGTGAGTAAATTATCAGCATAAGTGTTTTTAAAAGTGAACTACTCATTTAAGTTAGTCTTTTCCAACAGGATATATTAGTCAACTGGGGCCTTTGCAACATATTTAACTTTTGTAATGTGATGCGTTGTTTTTCAAGTGAACAAAACATGCTGAACAAGAGAGTTTAGTAAGATCAGCCAAAAACGAAGGCTGTTTCAGAGTTAGTTTGCTGAATCACAAACATCAGAATCACATTTACAAGGCGAAGGTTTAAATACAAAGACATTGAACTTTGCTGATATTAGCACTGCAAGTACAGAATATTATATTTTACACCATATTAACTTCGACATTTCATTTTATTATAGACTATTAAGATATACAAAAGACAAATACATTATTTACATGCGACTGATTGCAAAAGATACATTTCACCTACCTTGTTTTCCTCCAGAAACTTAAGTTTGACCGAGACGTCATTGCGCATCTTTTCATATTTTTCACGGTGGATCTGGAACTGTTGCTGAGACAGCTCAATCTTGGGGAGCGTGTTGGCGTCCCGTGGACCCAGATTGAGCTCCTCTAAATCTGTGCGATACGCATCATATTCAATCCTACCAAAAAAAAAAAAAGCACATGCCTTACAGAATGAGGATGTTTTGCTCAACAGGTATATATTATATAAAAGTAGCATACAGTGGTTTGTGAAGATATATTCAGACCTTGCTGCTTCATATTGCTTAATGTTGATCAAGGTGTCCTCTATGGTTTTGTCCACTAGAGTTTTAACACTGGCGATGAAGAAGTTGATAGCTCCTAACAGGGTTTCTCCATTTTTCGCCAAGAGTTTTTGGGTTTCAGCATTGTAGCCAAATTCCTCCTGAAATACAAACACACTGAGATGAAATGCGTATTTCTCTACAATAAAACACTAGACGCTGGATAGTGAAACACCATAAATAAAACAATGAAATGGTCCCTTCTCTGCAAATTAAGTAAATCAAATGAAATGGTACTGCCCAAGAAACCAATGCACTTTCTGGTTATAGTCTAGTCATTAAGTATTTAGTATTTGTGGTGGTTCTGGAAAAAGCAATGCCAAAGTGTATCCAAAACAGTCCATGAATAAATGATACCTTAGGAAGGCATCCAGTTATGCTGTCCGAATTGCAATTTTCTTTATCAATAAAAGCTGAAAATCTATGTAGTCTTAACAGATGCATTTGTATCATATTATAGTGATTATTATGATTGTTTCATTACTATTTTCTATTGGTATATTAAATGTATCTAATATAGACACAAACTGACTTTAAATAATAATTTGGTTTGCTGAGAGAATGTATTCTCTTTGTATTAACCAGAGTAAATCACAGTTCTTATCACATGCTCTAAAGATATATACTAGATTTGACAACCTGAAAGCAAGCACTGCTGTTTTATTTATTTTTTATTATTTCAAACAGTACTGTTTTACCATTTATTTTGTAGAATATTTGTGAGATGATCTGAGATTATTGGTTTTGAGACCACTGACAGAAAACCAAGTGTGAGAACACGGTTAAAGCGTTAGTTCACCCAGAAATGAAAATTCTGTCAGTATTTACTCACCCTCATGCTGTTCAAACCCCATAAGACCGTTGTTCATCTTCGGAACAAAAATTAAGATATTTTTGATGAAATCTGAGAGCTGGATCACTCCTCCACCATACTAGTCCATAGACTTCTTGAGGAATTGAACGTTGCCATCCTCGAAAAGTTATTAAAGACATCGCTAAAATAGTCCAAGTGACTTCAGTGGCTCAATCTTAATTTTATCAAGCGATGAGAACACTTTTTGTGCGCAAAAACAAACAAAATTAACGACTTTATTTCCACTATTCACTTCCTTCTCTATGAGCCTCTAGTCAGTTAACATAGTGTGATAGCGTAGAGCTACGTCACACATACACTCACTATTGGCCGTACGTACAATAACAGATCATATGCTGATAAACTAGTAACCTGACTCGAGGCAGAGAGAGAAATAAATGAATAGTTGAAATAAAGACAATTTTTGTTGTTTTTTTGCGCACAAAAAAAGTGTTCTCATCGTTTGATAAACTTAAGATTGAGCCACTGTAGTCACTTGGACTATTTTAACGATGTCTTTAATGACTTTTCAAGGCAGGCAAGTGTCAATTCCTCAAGAAGCCTATGGACTAGTATGCAGGAGTGATCCAGCTCTCAGATTTAATAAAAATATCTTAATTTGTGTTCCGAAGATGAACGAAGGTCTTATGGGGTTGGAACAACATGAGGGTGAGTAAATACTGACAGAATTTTCATGTTTGGGTGAACTAACCCTTTAAAATGTGTTCATGTTTTATTACTAAATTTATATCACTTACCACTGTGAAAAAGTACTTAATTAGAACAACAAAAAAACTATAAGATGATTATTATACATTTTTAATGAAAACTCAAAAACTGATTTTGATGAGATTTTAATTAAAATCAAGAGGCTGTAGCAGATGCAACATTAGATGGAACAGTTTTTATACTTACATGTAGTTCAGGTGTCTTGAGACTAAGGTCAGCGAACGCATCACCTAGCTGTCTTTGCGTCTGCAGCATCTGCGCCAGCTGAGTGCACAGCGTCTGCGCCAGTTTCACAACATGCTCGTACTTGCGCTTGTTTTCACGAAGAACCTCGATCTGAGCCTCCAGCTCCAGATCAACCGTACGGGAGCCGCGACCTAACTTCTCTGACAGAATTTGCTTAGTGCACTGTAGGAAAGGGTATAAGATGAAAAAAAGGCTACACATGACTACAATGTAGATATAGAAACTACACTACATTTCTGTTATATACAAAAATAATCCAAGAGACAATGCTTGAGACACTGATACCTTCATAACCAGCATGGCAGGAGGAATCACTCACTTTGTAAGTGTTGATGCTCCACTTCCTCACCAGCTCCAGTTTCTCTATGGCAGGACTCTTCATGTCATCGGCAAGGACCACTGCTCCTCCCATCTGCTGCTCTCTCAAATCACCTAATGACAGAATGACAGCCGTTTACTGACAGTCAAATAACTGGATGTTATTACCCCTCTACTCGTATTGTGACTCACTGGCAAAAATGATTAACCCCCAAATATGTCACCTGATGTGAGAAAATGGCAACTCAATCAAAAACTCTGCATTCAAGATAATTATGCATTTGACATAAAACACGACAGTGTAGTTATCGTTAACTAAAACAAACTAAAAGTAGTAAAGAAACATTTTTGCTACTTGAAATAAAGCTAAAATATAATATAAATATTAGGATGAAAAACCTCAATTAAATTGGAAATTAGAGTATAGCTTATTTAATACAAACTAAAGCTGAAATAAAAATAAATTAAACCATTAAGAAATTAAAAAAAAGTTTTAAAAATGGCAATAGGAATTTTGTAAAAAATAAAATTACCAAATAAGCTAAAATTAAAGTGAAAAGGGAAAATATAAATAAATGCTAAAACTAAAACTAAAATATATTAAAAACTAAACATATATAAAAAATATTAAAACTAAAATAGTATATAAATATTACAAAAAATACTGAAAAATGGACAACAAGATTAATACTAGACTAATCATACTGTAGTTGAAAAAGACTCTCTTTTAAAATGTCAGACGGTGGCAGAGACAGTGAGAATCGACAAAAGCAGTGCATTAACAAAGTCCTGAAAGGGGAAAAAATAGGAAATTATTGATGAGAAACGGTCTTTATCTTTTACGATCAGTCAGGAAGGCAAAAGGTAACAGGGTGGTTAGCCAAGACGAATAAATGAGCCCAGACTTCAAGTTATTAAAGACAGAAGCAACAATAAGGAAGAGAACAGGCCAGGAGATCACAGAGTTTGAAAGAACACCATCATAAATTTAAACACTGCTAATCTAATGAATCATGAATGCTGCAAGACACATTTCAAAAGCAGGAAGTGATGTCAATTTTATGTCTCTTGAAGATTGAACATTTCAACAGACATCACTGAAATCTACTAGAATAAAGTCTTTATGATGGTATAGTCTGAAACTGACAGTGCGGCGTTAGTAAGGGAGGGATTAAGGAACGCAGATTCATGCGTGACGTCGTCTGTTACAGTATGTGGTACCTTTGTGCATCTCCACCTGACTATCGCTGATGCTGCGAGCTAGCCGGCTAGCTGCTGCAGGACTGGGGACAACTGTAGGTGTGGTGGCCTGGAATGGCGACTCTAAAAATGGTCAGTGGTGAATTTTTATAATTTATACACCGAGTCTGAAAAGCTATTTGTAAAAAACAGCCACAGAGCTGGAAATGTTCATCTATCTAAAAATGAATCAATTAATGAACAATAAAAAGAATGTATTGATTATTTGGCCTTGTTGTTTAAGGAAAGTAAGCTGCATAAACAGGTAAACCAGAGTGAGGTAATAGTGTCAAAACTACTAGCACATTAAATTGACCACCCACATTTACACCACTGACACATTAAAGGTGCAGTAAGCAATTTCTGAGAAATGCTTTAGAAAATTTAAATCAACACCGAAACTGTAAAAAAAGATGGCCAGCGAGTCTCCACTTCCTTCCATTGTAGAGAAATGTCGACGCACAAGTGATCCTGAGGTGGAAACCATGGCATCAAGGTCCCTCTTATACTCATACTTAGTGCAGGTTGTTATACCGGTTCAAACCGAATACCAGCGTTTATTTTTGTTAAATGAAGTTTTAATATACCGCAAAACCAAAAAGAGTGTCGTTTACACAACATTGGGAGCGTGACGTGGCGCCACATTGTTTGAGAGGCGTCCCTTTTCACTTTTGCACTGTGGTGAGGGCACAGGTGTATGTGTTACTAATGCCTGGTTCAGATTACACGATTTTAGCCCCATTTTGGCACGATCCCTTTGACGTAGGGTGTCGTGAGGATTCGTAAACGACAACGGGCGTCCTGACGCAAGATTCGATCATATCATCTTGTATAATGTGTCATAGTGGGCGACAACCTACGTCACGTCTACGATGCTTCACGACAAAAAGACTAGCACAGGTGCGCCCAAGCCTGCTCCTGCCGATCGACTGTCCTACACAGTTTATCTCCAACCCTAATCAAACACACCTGAAGCAACCAATTAAGGTCTTCAGGGTCACTTTAAAGGAAATTAAAGCCAGGTGTGTTTAATTATGGTTGGAGATGAACTGTGCAGGACAGTAGATCGGCAGGAGCAGGGTTGGGCACCCCTGGACTAGCATGTTTAATTTTTTAACGGTCGTCCACGACGTTTCCGTCACATGTATGAGGTTGACCGATAGGAGCAAAAGCTTTTCCGTACACAACTTTCAAAAAGGCGAAACGAAAGAGAGACGATGGTGCTAACGTTAAAAATAAAAGTACAAATATATAAGAAAACAATATTTTACCTCAAGTTCTCTTTGGAGGATTGACAGCCCATACTGTACTCTTCGAGCAGGGTTCTCAAGTCTCACGAAATGGCCGTGAGACACACGCAATTCAACCAGTTCACACGCTCACATGCCACACCGTGTATTTCTCACGCTAAAAAGGCAATGCCGAACAATACAGGAACGTGTCCATTGTCGGGTTTTCTTTTTCTTTTCTTTTTTTTTTTAAAACTTTTTTCTGAACACAGGACAGCCAATACAACACTCAGCGCTTCATTCATTGTTTTTTCATGTTCGTTTCCGGAAGTCACTAGCTACTAGTTTCGCCTTTTCGATGACATTACGCGCGCCGTTAAACACGGCATGCGATGACTGGTCAGGAAGCAAGGTGTAGTCTGACGTGTCTTGTCCACGACACGACAAGATTTTAGGAGTCAAAAATCACGTAATCTGACACAGTGACTATCGTATCAGACAGAAAAATCGTGTAATCTGAACCAGGCATAAATGTGACGATGGATAGGTTAAACTATAATTGATAGCTGTCAAATTATATTACAGTGTTTCCCAAACATCAGTTCACAATATAACACTGCCCACCACAAAAAGATTTTACATAAGGCTTTGAGATCGTTGAATCAACATGAGTACTGCACGATTCAACGTAAAAATGTGGCACGGGTTTTTTATATGAATGTACCTTTGAAGTGACTGTCTTTAGGAAAGTGTCAATGTTATTTTCATTTAATCTTTCCAAATAAAGCAGCGTTTATTAGCGCTGCTTTGTGTACAGCCATTACCGGGGAAACTGCTATTTTTGCCACTCCTAAAGCGCATCCTGTTGGCGCCTCTTTGTAAACCTGTATTAATGCTAGTGTGTATATTCACTCATGCCAGTAAAATAGGGCATTCTAAGTCAATCTACAGCAGTATTGCCTCTCTCAATCGGTAGAAAATGTGGCTGACACCCATTCTTGATGTTTGAAAATTGATTCTCCATGCTTGAAAAAAAAATTACCGTGAAACCGGTATATTTTTATATATCACTGGTATATACAAAAAAGAATATGCACGCGGCCATGGCAAGGGGAAAGAGGCCAACTTGGCAAGCCAATTTTGCAAATGGAGCTTAAGGTAAGAAGTTTTAGTGCCGCCATGTTGAATTGATCAATACGCTATTTCATGTTGCGTTTTTATTGGCTAGTCAGTAGACGTACTGTAGGTCGTAGCAGCAAACACACTGCGTGATGATCATGTTATATTTCTGGTTCTAAAGAAGCAATTTCCTAAACGGATAAATTCTTTTAAACTTTCTATTCAAAGAATACTGAAAAATCATTTGATATTCAAGACTTGCTGTTGAAAATTCAGCTTTGCATCACAGGAATAAATTACATTACATATTCAAATAGAAAAAATAATAATAGAAAACAGTTATTTTAAATTGCATAAATATTTCACTATATTGCTGTTTTTACTGTATTCTGACCAAATAAATGCCAGCCTCGGTGAGCATAAGTGACTATTTTCTAAAACATTTAAAAAAAAAAATCTTCCTGGCCTCCATATTTTAAACGGCAATGCTTGCAATGTGTACACAGAAATTACTATTTTGATTTCAGCAACATGCACTGTCAGAGATTCCCATCATAACAGGACTTGTTTACATATGGACGTCTTAAAAGTACAGAATGAACATTGGGGAAAATCTGAAATGATACAAAACTTTACAATATGGCCCCATTATATAAAATGTTTCAAACTGATTTCATTGCCAGTAGGTGATACTACAGGAAGGAGATGAAACAAGCTCTATAGCTTACGGCTAACAAGTGACAAGGGAAAAAAAAGGGTGGTCAGCAATTACACCCAGCTAATGACAGGTTGCCAGGTTTGTATCCAACAAATTAATTCACATAGTAAACGAGCATGAAATAATGAAAGGGGAAAGCAGATTGAAAAAGATCACAGACGACTCTGTAATGAGACAGGAACACCTTTCTTTACAAATTCAAATTCTCCCTCTCTCCACAACACACACAAAGAGAAACACAAACAAACAAATGTGGGTTTAAATTAGATGAACCGAATAGAGAGAAGACATTGAACCTAATGACTGAAAAATAACGCTCTATCCAGCCTGATCTCATTTAATACAATGAGAGGAAGTGTTTTTAAATGATTAACATTGTGTCCATCTCTGAGCGATCTTATGTAAGCACATGTTTGTGCGCAAACAAACTAGTCAACTGTAGCATGCAGAGTCACTGTTTGCATTTGTGTGAATAACTAATGCAAATGATATTCATGTTCAATGCATGCTTAGTGTTATACCTGTGAATGGACCCACTTGCACCACTCCCTCAGTCATTGCATAGTTTTCATTTGAATTGTGGGAGTGTGACATGATTGGTCCAGAGGAGATATTATGTGGCACATCCTTGAGAGAAATAAAAGAAAGAGAACAACAAACAAGAATATAAATGAATGACACTTAAGAAAGATCACAACAAAGCAATTTCCGATTATACTGCATTTCTCCCATTTTTGCATCTCCTTTTTAGCCGTCAACATTTTAAGTTACTTAATTTCAAAACTGAATATTTTCTGGTTGATTTCATGGCAAAAAACATTCACTATTAAAATATTCTAAACTATGTAAACTCACGGTTAAATGTTCTTATTTGCATATTTATGAGGTCAATAACAAATTACAAAGGGCATATACTGTATCAGTGTCAATATGGCCAAGTAAATCTGCTGTGAGTCTGCTATAAGTCACCCTTTATGTACAAAAGTATAAAAAAATTATTACGGGTTGTCTCCTTTACATCAAAATTCTCTTTATTTCCTTTACACTGAAACATTGATACATTGAGCATTTGTGAAAGTTTCTGTGACTGAACAAGGTTCATGAATATTTAATGAAGTACTAATTAATGTATGATGGCCTGTTTGTTGCAACGCATTCTCATCCTTTAGGCGAAATACTACGCACATGGTACCAGTTGTCATTAATATAACATGCGCTGTGATGGGTAGGTTTAGGTGTGGGGTAGGGTAGTCTCATATTAACACTAAAGGATTTATGACGCCTTGGGTTTGCGTGCTATATTAACGATAAAGGGTGCCATGTGTGTAGTATTTCGCCATTTGTCATATAGCGTCACCTATATGACGCTAAAGGATGAGAACGGGCTGGTTTGTTGCTAACACGCTGTATCATTCTAGCACCATTGCTTCACATTGTATACATTTGGCAACACACCAAATGCATTTTTATAACACAGGGTTAAAAGTGGTTCAAGACATCTTTAATGTGTTGTGTTAAACCGGGACCACATGTACAGTCATGGCCAAAAAGTTTAGGCAGTGACATGGATGCGTTTCGGAAAGTTCTGCTTTAGTATTTGTAGATTATTTAGTAGATGTTTCTATGGTATATTGGAAAATGATAAGGTTTCGTAAGGTTTAAAGGCTTTTATTAGCAAAAACATTCAATAGAATTCACAGTGTTGACCATTTTTCTTCATAACCTCTGCAATTCGCTCTGGCATGGATGATATCATCTTGGCGATAGATTCACAATTTTGTGGTCTTCTGCTCGTCTGCTCGCCTTTTGATGACTGACCACAGCTTCTCTATGGAATTAAGTTCCAGAGAATTGCCTGGCCACATATCCAAACTTATAATGTGATGATCTCCGATCCACTTCATTATACTTTTGCCTAGTGACATGGTGATCCATCATGTTGTAAAATGCACATATCATCACCAACTTGTTCCTGGATTGTTGGGTGAAGTTGCTCTTGCAGGACATTTTGATGCCATTCTTTTTTTACTGGAAGTTTTTTTAGACAGAATTGTGAGAGAGCCCACTCCCTTGGATAAAAAGCAACCCGCACATGGATGGTTTCAGGGTGGCTTCACTTGGCATGACACAGTACAGGAAGCGTTCACTTATTCTTTTCCGGACAATTCATTTTTCAACAGTTGGAAGGGGGCTTCATCAGAAAAAAAGTCTGGCCTTAATGTTTTTCTTGGAGAGAAGGGTCTTCTTTGAAGCCCCTCTTTACACCAAGCTGTTGTCCAAAAGTATTTGGCTCAGTGTTTTCAGATGCAAGTTGATCAGGTTAAACGTGTGATGATGGTTGCACGTCTTTTTTTAGAGGCAACACAAGAACACAATGATTGGAAGCACTTCTTCCCTCCTTTTATAACTATCACTTATATAATCCAATCAGAATGAAATGTGATTTCACCTGACTAGTACTTGTTCACACTTTCACATGAGCTGATGATATGATTAGTAATATAATGTATAGCTGCTCGTTTCGTGCTAGGGCCAAAAAGAAGTAGTAGTAGCATAATTCGGGTAGACTGTTGCCACAGACATGACACACATTTAGTTAAATACTCAACCATGAGCATCAACCATGAGCACTCTGTGCTGGCTTGGATGTTGGCACACTTTTATGAAGCTAATAAAAACAAGTCAAGCTCAAAGTAAATCCTAACCCGGATACATGAAACTGAAGGTGGGGCTGGGCAAAACCAACATAATCCATAACATAAAATAATAGTTAAAACCCTGTGCATTGGTTGGTTATAGAATCAGTTCTGCATTGTAAGTAAGTAAATACTGTAAGTAAATAAATAAAGCAGTGTTTTTCCTTGGTCAAAAATGGTCTTCGGTGGTGGCTGACGGACATGGTCATCCATACAAAGTAAAAAGAAGCATACTCACATGATCTCATACTATGTATGATCTCTTAACGATGTTTGTTTCTTTTGTTCCTCATTGTTTACAAATGGTTGCTGATTCTATTTTTTTTCTTTTGGGCCCTCATTTTCTTCTTTACAAATAAAGCTGTGATTTTACCACTGGTTTTCATAGCTTTGTAAGATGAGATCCTTCTTTGCTAGACCTGATAATTATTTAAGTATATTATCATATCAATATTAAAAAGTAGCATTAAAAAGTTTAGTTTAACTAATAGTCTATTTTTCTACCATATACAATAGAATAAAATTAGCAGCTAGCTAACAACAACTTACTTTGTTCGGGCTTCACCTCACTCGAGTCTAAACTAAATGATTTTATGAGTAATTAACTCAGGTTATTTATGTCGACAATTTTCATTGTCAATAGAAATAACCTGAAATTTCTATGGATGTTTAAAGGCTAAATATTACAAACCACTTTTGCTAAATGAGGTAAGCACACTTACGTTCTCATTTCAGAGATGCTCTGAGTAAATGATTTGTTAAACACCGATTCAGACAGTGATCTGGACAGTGACAGAGACAGTGAGTCTCGTGAGTTCAGTGTTGGACAGATCACTTGTTTTAACCATACATTAAAATGAATCCGTTCAATGGAGTCATTCAAAGGAGTCAGCAGTCATATCACCCTGTAGCCCAAGACTGGTTGCCCAATGAAGCTAAGCAGGGTTAAGCTTGGTTAGCACAGTACCTGGATGGGACACCAGGGAAAACTCAACTGGAAATGCAACTTTTAATGACTTCTGCAGTCTCAAAATTATTCAACCCCTTAATGGCAAGCATCTTCAGTGCTTCTGCCAGCTTTTCTGAGGAATCTTAGCCCATTACTTAGCAGTGGCCTCCATTTCAGTAATATTCTTGGGTTTGCGCGTTGCAATCGCCACCTTCAACCTCACTAGAGATTTTCTAAGGGGTTCAAGTCAGTTGCCTGTGATGCTACTCTAAAATCTTCCAGGACTTCTTCTGACACCAAGCCTTGGTGGATATTGAGGAATGTTTGAGAATGCTATACTCAAAAAAAAAAAAAAAGGTTCAGCGGTTCTTCAGGGGTTCTTTGCTGTTGTCATAGTGCTATATAGCACCACTACCATTTAAAGAACCTGTTAAGCCCAGTTTGGTTCTTCAGCGGTTCTCTGGGGTGGTTAACATGCTTTATGGAACCTCTTATAGTTCTGCATAGCACCAAATGACAAAGATAAGTAAAGTAGCTCCCCTATGATTGCTATTTAGCACCATTTTTTTTTAGAGTTTATTATTGTCCTGTTGGAAGAACCAATGATGCCCAAGCTTCAGCTTCCTCTCTGACAGCATGACATTTTCTCCTAGAATTTCCTGATACTTCAATGAATCAATCTTGCCTTTCACACGCTGCAGGTTTCCAGTGCCAGAGGATGCAAAGCATCCCCAGATCATCACAGAGCCACCAGACCACCACCATGCTTAAATTAGTTATTTTCAGCATATGCTTTACTCTCCTTCCTCCAGACACACTGCTGATCCATAGGTCCGAAAATATCCAGTTTTGTTTCATCGCTCCACAGAACTGAATCCCAAAACTTTTGTTTTTTTATATGATTTTGAGCATTTTTCATGTGCTTTTGGGTCAGCAGTGGTGTACATCTTGGGGTTCTGGAATGGAAACCACATGCATTTAGTATGTGCCCTAGAGTGCAAGCTGAAACCACAGTGCCTGTGGCCACCATGTCTTGCTGCAGGTCTTTTGCAGTCACACGATCATTTTTCTTAACCTGCCTTCTCAGAAATCTGGTTGCAGCCATTGAAAGCTTCCTTTTTTCTGCCCCGTCCAGGTCGTGTAACCACTGTTCCTTTAAAGGTGCTGTATTTCCACTATACCAAAGCATAAAAATACCATAACACGTTTGCATATATTGAGGAAACATGCTAGGTTCACATACTTAAAATAAGCATTTCCAGGCACATTTTTAAAGTAACGCTATTGTCACACTCTCACCCCACATGGACTCGTTATGTTTTGTCATCATCTGCCTTCCTCGCTCATTTTGTTGTCTGTTTGAGATCAGTGTCCAGTTCGTGTAGCAGCGGTTCCGATTTCGTGTTCATTGTTTTTGTTCTTTTTTCACCCCTGCTTGCACCATGGACTTTCCAGCAGTAAGTCTTATGTGCCTTGAGCAGGGATAACCCTCCCTCGAGAAACAATTAGAATAGTTTTTGAGTCTCGCCCATCAGACCACATTCCCTGGCAACTGCCCGTGCACGTTCCTAGAAATGTCAGACTCAACGCCACCACACGACACGTGCACAGTTGTCCAGGGAGGTTCCTCGAGGGAGCTTTGCATTATATGTGGAGTGGATGCTGGCATCCTGTGGATCTGCGTTCACCATCGAGGATGCCACCAGCCTCACTCCCCATCCAGTGCCCAGCCAGAACCACCCAGACGGCGAGGACCGCCGAACTGAGCCCACCGCAGGTAGCGCAACGCGATGAATGAGCCCATGCCCACAAGTGCAACAGAGGACCACATCACCACGGAGCCCGAGCAGTGCGCGCCTGACCAGGTGTAGGAGCCGGCCAAGCCATCCATCGCCGAGGGAGTGCTGGTGGACGTTGAGGGTTTGGAAGTGGGCAACGCCCATCCCCAGCCCCTTGGTGCAACTAATGAAGCCCTTGATTATTTGCATCAGGCGGGTTTTAGACAAGACTTGTATTGCAGAATTGTGCTGATGTGAGGGATTCTATTCAGGGGGTTGAATAATTTTGAGACTGCAGAATTTTTAAAAGTTGCATTTTCAGTTAACTTTGGGGAAGCCACTTGAAACATTTCTTGTGTTGAGCTATTTCAAATACTTTTTTGATTTGTTTATTGCAAACAGCTCAAAGTCTGTAAATTTTGCCAATAAACCTGATTTGCAATGGGAGTTTAAACATTTTAATTGCAACTATATATTAATTTGTATTAAACATGTATTACTACTGCTGATCTATATGTAACAATATAAAGTATCAGTCTGTTCATCCTTTCCAATAATTAGGAACATAAGTACAGTCATGAGACAACTTAAGTCATTTTCATTATGCGTCATCTTTACATAGTACCTTGGAAACATTCATCTCTAAATATTCAGTGTTCAAATGGCACCATTGTCAGACAAAATTGGTTTTGCTCTACGCAGGATGTCTTACCCTCTGAAACACTTCCTCGTGACTTTTGTCTGCTTCTCCGTTTCTGGTGACTGATATTTGAGCAGCTGGGCTTCTGTGGGCCTCTTCTGCCATAGCCACCTTCAATACACATTACACAGACACACAATTACTAGGACATGAAAACAACATTAAAGCGGTCAAGCTGAGAGTTCAGATGCAGAGTGCTTCCACCACCATAAAGCTTTGCGTCGGGGCCTGTGAAGTTATAACCGCACCACCATAAGCAAAGAAAATACAGCTATAAATAACAAAATGGATCAGGTCAGCTGCTGCTTTGCAATAACTATTTAACAGCAACAGGGAAATATAAGTATTAGTGAATAAGAAACTCATCACAGACATATCACACTGTAGCCCAAGACTGGTTGCCCACTGAATCCAAGCAGGTTTGAGTCTGGTCAGTACCTTGAAGGGAGTCCTCCTAGGAAAACTAGGTTGCTGTTGTTAGTTGCTCTGTTAGCCAGCAGAGGGTGCTCACCCTGTGGTCGGTAGCCCCTTTTCCAGCAAAGCATTTTGAGAGCCGGTTCGGAGCCGGTGCCTGCGCGCGAACCAGTTCTTTGTGTTTCGACAGCCAAAGACCCGGTTCTCGGCCAGGAGAACTGGTTCCAAAGCGGCACCAACTCTTTGCTGGACTAGAACCGTTCTTTTACCACGTCACGCTTACGTCGGGGGCTGGGGCGGATTTGATTTAGATGTGTTCTAAACATCTTTTCTGACCATAATAAAGGATCGCAAATCCAGGAGAAACATTTGCAGAAACACGATGGAGTCCGCCTTTGTAATTGTTATGCTTGAAGTTAACGCAAGCGTTTCTATTTTTGTAATTTTTTTATTGAAGACATTATAAGAAAAGAAGAAAAGTCACAATATAGAACAAATAAAAGGAAAGAAAAAAAGACACAAGACAGGGGTACATAACTTATCAGAAAAGATTACAGGTCAAACGAAAAGATTAAAAGACTTACATATTTCAATTGTTTTTAAACCCTTCTTGGAGTTAGAGATAATCCCAAAGTAATGCATAGACATATACACTAGACTTCACCTTGGCTACGGCATTTCTTCGGTAAAATCACCATAAATCATCATGAATGCGATTTTTCTTGTTTTTTTGGTTTGTTCCAACGGTCAGACATGTATTTATCATTGATTACAGAAAGAACATTTTTTTTATTTTTTTTTTAAAAAACATTCTAGTTTAGATTTTATCCGCGAACATCATACGCTGCACAAAAGTCCGCCACCATCAATGAATTCGAAGTAAAAGCAGAGATAGCAGCGTTACCTAGCTACTTCCTATGACAAGACCCCTGTTCCAAGATGGAGGCGGTTTTGACGCATGCTTAGAACCCCAAGGTGAGGTCTAGTGTATATGTCTATGAAAGTAATGTTACTTGCAAGCGTTTCTAGCGACGTACACAGTGACGTAACAACGTCGTTCCCTGGGCGCTCTAGTCAGTGGAAAAACAAACAGGTTCTGAAGCGGTTCGGAAGTTGAACCAACTCCGAACCAACTTTGAACCAGCACCAGTTCCGAACCAGTTCTTTTTTTGGTGGAAAAGGGGTATGTGTGGGTCCTAATGTGGGTCCACTATAGTGACGGGGAAAACTATACTGTAATAAGCACCGTTCTTCGGGTGAGACGTTAAAACTCTCGACTCTCTGTCTGTAGTCATTTAAAATCCCATGCCACATCGCGTAAAGAGTAGGGGTGTAACCCCAGTGTCCAGGCCAAATTCCCTCCATTGGCCATTATCAATCATGGGCTCCTAATAATCCCAATCCTTTGAATTGGCTTGATCACTTTATCTCCTCTCCACCTATAACTGGTGTGCAGTGAGTGCACTGGCGCCGTTGTTCTGTGGATGCCGTCACATCATCCAAGTGGATGCTGCACACTGGTGGTGGTTAAGAAGAGAACCCTGACATTGACTGTAAAGTGTTTTAGCTTCCTTGCTTCTCTAACTACACTGCTATCTGGTGATCATTGTTTTCAGTTTGAACTTCAGTTCAAAATTTTGGGATCAGGAAGAGATGAATATATACAGTACATTTCTTTTCTTTCCATCCAACTCTAATGTTCAATATAATTTGTGTATATAAAATAAAATATCCGAGCAAATACAGCACAACGTGATGAATGACGGAGTTAAGCATAGGCTACACAGATTTCCCTGGATAACCTGGACTCATTGTAAGGGAAAATATACAAATAAATAAATGGCAACATTAATTAGGTTACATTAGTTAACATTGGTTAATGCATTAACTAACATTAAGTAACAATGGGCAATACACGTTACAAAATTAATCTTTGTTAATGCTATTTAATAAAAATACAAAGTTCAATGTTGCCTGAGGTCCATTAAATAATTTTAATAGACAAAACTTTTGTTTCTAGTAATGTATTAGTAAATGTTGAAATTAACATTAACTACAAGTGTAGTTAGTCACAAATGTTAACAAATGGAATCTTAGTGTAAAGTATTACCAAATAAATAAATAGCCTAAATAAAATTTAACCTGACTGTTAAAATTTAAACTTTAACTCTGTACAATGACGAGAGAATGTGAGACAGATAGCAGGCGAAAACTCACTAACAAGATAAAGCCTACGTGACATTGCATTTAAAAATGTTGAGCCAAGTGGCTAAGAAGATTGCTGATGAGCTTTGTGGACAGTCTTTAAAGGTGCTCTAAGCAATGTCGGGTGACATGACTTGATGGCTGCTCTGTTAAGTCTTCGTCGTCAGTTAAGAACCTTGGTGTGCTCTTTGATACTAATCTCTCATTTGAAAGTCATGTGTCAAGTATCTGTAGAACAGCATTTTTCCATCTTAAAAAAATATGTAAATTACGCCATATACTCTCATTGACAAATGCGGAACAATTAGTTAATGCGTTCATGACATCAAGGCTAGATTATTGTAATGCTCTACTGGGTGGTTGTAGCCTGGATGCCAGCCCGAACTCCGCCCACAATATTTTTTGGTCGGGAAGTTCGGTCTGGACTCGATCTATTGAGGAGTAATTATGATCAGGCAAAAAATGAACGGGCCAATCAAATTGCCAGGGCGGGCTTTATACGATGATGGACAGATGATCTGCAGGGAATTAATCATCACGTTATCAAAGAGCGCTTAACTGTCTTCCCTCAGAAATGGTTGCAGCTGGAGAATTGAGATGTATAGATTCGGCTGTCGCGTCTTTTGTGAAAAAAAAAAAAAAAGACAGCGCATTCATTTTAACAGACAAAAAGAGAACTGCAATCAAGGCATTTGTCGATCGGAAAGATATTTTTGGCGTCCTTCCTCCTACATGATTCGGGAAAAGTGTAACTTATCAGCTGGCTCTGACGGTCGTTAAGAAGATGGGACGTAATGAAAAGCCTGTGGTCGTTGTGGTTTCTCCTTTGGAGGCACTCATGGAGAAGTAAGTAAAAGAAGCAACACTCGTTATTTAACTTCTAAAATAAATAAAGTAGGCTACGTTCTGTATTTGAAAACTGCGCTATGCAAAGGAGTTGACTTATGCGTTGCTCTGATTGGTTGTAGGTCTACCGACTCCAATTGAGTGCAGAGGTTTTTTTTTTCCTGGTTCGGTTACGACACGCCTCATAATCAAAGCCCAACGGAGGAGTTTCAGACTCATATTCTTTCTTGAATATGAGTATGACGAAGTCAGGCTACTTTTCAACCACTTCTGTCCTGATTTCTTCGAGGAGAGGGTCTATGGGCTGGTAAATGAATGTGTTTTTTCAGATATTTCATGAATATCTGAAAAAAAGCCCAAAAAGCCCAAATCAGCTAGATCATTGATTGTCAAAAAAATACAGTTAACTGCTAAACTATAGCTACATGTGCAAAAAAAAATGAAGAAAATTGTGAATGCAAAATATAGCTTGCTGTCACTATTTGGTTTTGAAATTTAAGCAACATAACACCTTATTTACAGATGACATTATTTTTACAATGTCCTTGCATGTGGTTTAATGTGTAACTACAAAAAAGGCTATTAAGGTCTGTATAATGTGGAAAGGCTCAGAGATTTGAATCTTAAAGTGATCGCTTGTTTGTCTGGCCAGTGAAATAGCACACAGTGTCCAATAACAACACATGAATCTTTCAAAGCCACCTGATGCCATCATGCCAGGAGGACAGTGACTCTAAACTCTCTCTCAGATGAATCAAATGACAACTGTGGCTCCCACTAGTTTCTTTAAACAACCCCAGCGATTAAAATCTGGATCGTCTTTTGCAGTCACAACTTTAAAAGCCCTAGTTTCCAATCGCTGCAGTTTGTCACCAGATTTGATGATTAAAGCAGCATTGTGAACAGTGCCTCTGTCAAGCCCAGCAGAAGAGTCCCCAAGAGTTCAGCTGCTTAGACATTAAAGATAACCACAGAAACAACAGCAATCTGATCAGACATTCTAAAGACAGAGCTGTTATAAAAACGACATAGGTCTAATAAATGCTCAAAGAAAACGAAAGACAGGTTTCTTAAGCAAACCTTTCAGTTATCAGAATGAGTCAGTTAACATTTCCTTATCAGGAACTATTTCCATCATGCTGACAGATAAAGTGCAGTAATCATCACGCATGTGACAGCTGACAAAAAACTGACGTGAAGGCCTTTTGTCCTCTGAATTTTACCAATCCATGCTAAGTTACTACATTAGGAGCAGTGAATAGTGAACACACACACAGTAAACCTTGGACACACACACACACCCGGAGCATGCTGTGGCTCCTGGGACGCAATTGGGGATACATGCCTTGCTCAAGGGCACCTCAGTCATTTTTTGTAGGTATTGAGAATTGAACTTCAACCTTCAGGTTACCAGTCTGACTCTATAACCATTAGGCCACAACTAAACATTTTATAAGAAACAACACTTGCAGAGTAGCTTTTTCAGAAAATGAACAGTGCAATGCATAAGACTATTTATATAATTACATCCAACCACAGAAACCGAAAATTCTCGGGCCAGCAGCATGTGTCCAAAATTTTAATCCTAACCGTTCCATTTCATCAGAAACAATCTTAAAACAGGGCTTTAAGTGTAAAATACCGAACTTGGAGAAAAAAAAAAAGTCTCAGCGCTGTCAGTTTGTTAGAAAAGCACCCATAGTGCACTGTTGCCATCCCAAGGCCATTTGCACTAGTCTGCTATGGATACACCTACCAGAGTCAAATACCGCCTAGCTTTAATAGGAAAAAACCTGTTTGTAGTCAACATTTAGAATTGGATGACCACGAACACAGTGTTTTAGGCCAAACAGAGGGGACAAAAATGAAAGAAACTGCAATTCTGTCAGTTCCGTCAAACCTCCAGCAAAACAGTCACATAGAGTTAAGAAAGCTGTTTAATTTTTACCATAATGCCGTCTAAAGAATAGACTGAGTCAATAACTGTTCCGTTAATAACTCTGTCAATCTGACGGTCCATGGGCGGGGATACAAACATGCGTTAATATAATCTGTAGTTGTCACAAAAGCCTGGGAGCGTTTTGCATCATCCAGCGGACTTTTACTGACAAATAAACATGAATATTGAACATTGAAGAACATTGCTCATTTACATATACTACCGAAATTGAAACAATACAAAGCGGATTGAAAATCGGCAAATTTACACTTTAACGTTAGACAGTTTCAATTTATATGCTGTTGAATGATTAATGATCACTTTGCATAAGAACTTACTGTTGCAAACTTATATTTCTCTTGCTTCGTACATTCCTAGCAGATCGCTTCACTGACACTGGACCATTACAAAACAAGGATGAACAACATTAAAATTATTTTTTGTTATGGCTAAAGGCTGACGGCTGCTGTATAAAAATACATGACAAACTAGAATGACGTTTTGCAGTAAATTTTACACTATATATCATATAGTCATCATCATGTCAGGTGAATGTGATTTTTCAAAAAGTGTGTAAAGTGTATCACATCACTGCAGTGGCATGGCTATTGCAGAAGTCTTTAAACTAAAGAGCATGAAATAGTAAATTAAATAAACGCAATAATAGCAACAACCAAACACAATTGACCAGATTAGACAAAAAAAAAAAAAGCACCATCACCCATATAAAGGAGTAAAAGACACCTCGCAAAGAAATAGAACAAGAGACAGATGCTTCATAATGCTGTAACGTTCAGGCAAAGATCCAGTTCTTTTAAAATCAGAGACAATTTGGCTGATTCAAATAATATTTATATTTCCCACTTATGAAAAATCATTCATGCCTGAAATCACAGCAACATGTATGAGCAAGATTAAGCATAAGCCAAGCTACAGGTTTCACAATACCATTACAGTCACCTTCACTTCAGCTTCTGTCGCCACAGTGCACGCTGTTTCAGAATCATGATTATCCTCAATGATTCCACTAGTTTTACTGTGGGCCTGAGAATCCTCATCTTCATCACCATCCTTACTAAGAGTATTATTGAGGTTTCCAACTTCTGTGTTGTCACTGATGTCAATTTCAGTCATGCGCGTTTCATCCAGGCTGTTTTTTCTGGCCTCGGATTGGCTCAGAGATTCAGCAGTATTTTGGAGGCCCTGTTCTTTAGGGTCCGATTGATTATCCTGTGACGCATTCTTCTCCGAGTCAAAACTAGCTTCTGACATTCCTGAAATTAAACATACAAATGAGCAACTGGCCAAGTTTTTTCCCCTTCTTGCGCTAAATTCATGTAAATATTATAATTCCACAGATGAGGCTGATGTTTCAGGAAGGGGCTCAGCCATTATACATCACGGAACAAACATACTTTAAGTACGAACCACCTGTAATCATTACAGGTCAATGACCAAGAACCAATGTTGATGGCTGAAATTCAGACCTGGCAAAAGATGGGTTAGTTTATCGAAATACAGTGTATGCACCACCAATTGGCTTTTAGATAATGATTTTTTGAGAGAAAGCCAAAATAACAGTCCTTCTTATAAATTGTAGACGGTTACCTGCATTCCTTTACACAAATAAATAAAAATTCAGGCCTAAAAAGCCATTTTATACATTTGCAGCACTTTGCACAGCAGTAAATAGTGACTAAGATTAAGATTTTTATTTAAAAAAAGAAAAGTTAATTATAAAGTAAACTAAACTCACAATAGTGAGTTTATGGCTGAATAATTAGCCAAAATATTTTATGATAAGCTATGCATCAGAATGAATATTGAAATGCATGTATCTATGTCTGTAAACCCACTCTCCTATGATGCTAATGTATCAGTAAGAGTTCAGTTAACCTAGAAAATGGGGTAAAATGTTTTGATAATGGAGATCCAGTTACACATGGTGATGTTTTCTACAAAGGAAGGCTCAAATGTTCTTTAATTATTAATGTCTTGCCTACATATTTTCATATCCAGCAAACAATATAAAAATTATATTCAATACCAAAAGCAACCTCAAACTACTATCATGCTGCCACACTGGTGCAATTTGCAGTAAGTCCAATTTTATGTTTATTGCTATCCAAATGTGCCCTAGTTTTGAAAACTGGTTAATTATTCATACATATATTAACCATGATTTTACTAAAAATAAAACCTTACAAGGGTTACACCATGGAAATCATGGTTTTGCTACACTAACCAAGTTAAACCATGGTATTTGTGGTAAAACTGGTCATACAAATGGTCATCAATTTGCCCAAAAAAATGGTTACAACACTTTTAATAAAACCATGGTTAATTTTCATATCTTGTACAAGAAAATGGTACATGTGCAATTTACTCATTTCCGAAAATAAAAGATTGATAAAAGATTTTGATTTTTTTTAAGCATCTATTTAGTTTTAATAGAAGGAGGGTAAAATAGGCCACAGACAATTGTAGGAAGGCCTACTGTTCCTTCAAAAAGTAACAACAAGATGGACAAGAAATTAAGAAACCTATTACGGCGAAGGCTTCACACTAGTTTGAACTCTTCATTGGACCGTCAAGTCACATGACGTTATTAATATTGTTGAACAAATCCTTTGCCATAGTAGGATTCGTTCGCGTCGTGGACACGTAAACGCTTTTCTACTTTCCAATGTTAAGCAACGGCACAGCACTTACAAGAAGCAAAAACAAAAACAAACTAAGGTGTATATTTAAAAGCATCCTCTTTATGAACACAGGTTTTGTTGTTTAATTAATGGCATCGTCTTATTCCCCTTCCTGGAATTCAATCTCTCTCACTGTTGCACCAGCACGTCACAAAGTTGCTATTGAGTTACTTCCTTTGCCTGGAGCACTTCAGTCGAGTTACGTGTTACAAAACGCAATAAACATGCCCTTTACTCTATATACCGCTTTTATATAAACGATGCGTCCTTCATTAATCATGAACATAATGAAAAGGAATATATGAAGAGTTGACATTTATTCTTTTTCGCCTAATCTAAGGGGTGAAATGATTAGAACCGAATATAAAACAAGTCGACAGTTTGGTACACTGAATTTCCTTAAGTTACTTTTCCCCATGGAAGAGGAGACAGAGGATCAACCCTGCACACTGAAGCCATCATGCCTGCCTGCCATCATACATTCATGAGCGATGCAACAGTTGACTCTGTTCAGCAGCACTCACCTGCACACAGATTACAACTGTTCTCTTTCCTGTTGCACAGCTTGTTTCATAAAAAATGATCTTTGCTTGAGTTCGAGTTGCTGTGTCTGTATCATTCGATACACAGCTAGTCCCTCCACAGCTCAGTGAAAGTCTTTTCAAACACACCCGGAAGAGGACGTGTGTGTCAGTAGATATACTGGAGCCACAGCATGTCTGTCTCCTAGCGGTCAAAATGACAATGCCAACACCGACCAAACAATGAACATCGTACAGTATGTTACACAGAACCAACTCAAATATAAATCAGAATCAAATTGTATTATTTTATTTATTATCATTTTATTTTATTTTTATTTACACAGCTTATTTATTTTATATTTTAATATTTTTTTTATTTTTTTTAATAAAAATTTTAGTAATTAAATAATTTTTTGATATGTATAAGTAGCTTTAATTTATATATTTATATATTTTTTTTTAATAATTTTAGTACTTAATCTTAAGCTGATTTTCAACTAATATTTGTATTTTATTTTATTTTATGTCAATGACTTCAGAAAATGCATATTGTCTTTACATTTAGTCCAAAACAATTGTGTGGTGGTTAAACGGGTTAAACCGATGACTAGCCCATACGAAATAAAACCAATATAGCCTAAGCAGTGTGGTCTCATGGATCATTCCAAAACGTAGCATGAAAATCTCAATAATGGTTGTATTGTCAAATCTGCTCTACCTTGGTAAACGGACACAATTTTCCTTTTAGATTGGGAAATCTACAGTATTGAGTGCAAGAACGCTTACAATTTCAGCCACTAGATAGCAGGATAGGCTATGTATGTGTGTACAACAGCAGCCGACACGCTAGGGCAGACCACGGCAAAGGGATAAAGTTGACAGTGAATCACTGCCAGTAGGCTAATGACTTTTCATTGTACCCGGTATGCCATTTCAAAAGATGTCGAAAATAAACAAACAAACGAATATAAATAAATAAATAAAAATTCTAAGCATAGGCCTATATTCATTTCTAATTTATCTTTTTACTTATTTTCTAGCAAGCATTTTACATTTTTGCAAATGTAGTAAATATTAGTGATTTTATTGATAATGTTATTGTTAAAATGAGTTTTAATGTAGCACATGCCACCATGCCACCTTTAGCGTCAAATGAGACGCAGACATATATGGGGGAGAAGACGCCTCCTAGTGGTCTAACCCTAACCCTACCCTACCCCACACCTAAACCTACCATAACCAAGCGTCTCATTTGACGCGAAAGGGTGCCATGTGCGTTGGATATCTACGCTTTGGCAAAAGTGTCGTTTATGACGCCTTGGGATGAGAATGCATTGATAATGAAGGTAGCCTATAACAACATTTAGTTTTGGCCCAGGGTTGAAGAATGTTTGAGCATCTCTGCTTTAACGGTTTCAAATTAGGTTTAAAAAACAAAAAAAAAAGTTCCATGTTTAGGGCTGTCAAATGTTACCTTGTTAAGTTAGGTTTAAAATAAGGTTACCAGTAATTAAACATGTTTAACATGTTCATTTAACACACATAACACACTTACCATATTTGACATTATTACTTTCATTCTCATTTCTAAAGACAAAAATCACGAGATTAATCATGATTATTTTATTCTGTCAAAAGCCCTAGTTTTAACAGTAAGAAAAAAGAAAAGTACTTGTAAAGCATTTCTGAATTCAGTGCCATCACCAGGGGCCACTAAAGACCACAAATACCAGGTCTGTTTATCAGGATGGTGTGGATATAGAATTGTTAGTGTGTTAGCAGGAAACGTTTTAGTCAAAACAATCTTCAAATACATATTGTTTTAAAAAAAAAACTTTAAGAATAAACAACACGTATGATTTTCTTTTCTTAAATGTATTTGCTCTTATTTTGTATTGAGTGACGGCAGAAGAAAAAAATGATACAAATCACCAATGATTAAATTACATTACATGACGGTGGGTGTTAATAAATGCACTTAACACTAATGAATTGACATATTGAGACTGTGACATCAAATAAAATGCTACAGGTGTTGAAAATATGTACACACATAAAAACCTGTATATTTACAGAGTATGACAAAAGTTTGGACATTACCATGAGACGATTTCACTTCTTTCACCAACGTCTGTACATAAAGTACAATTGAATCATTGCTCTAAATGAGCACTGAGACCGAGAGAAAAACAGCTCTGTGGTTTTACAAACATGTGACTTTACTCTAATACTCGGCATTCATAAGCCAAAACAAAACAGCAAACAACTTTGTGAGCATAACAAGAAACAGACCCATACATTACAACATTATTAATATAACTGACACAGAAAAGAAATAAACCAATATTGTGTATATAAAATTGCTGATTGAAATTCAAAAGGCGTAACATAGAAAAAGTGCAGTATTTAGGCTCAAGTATGGAGACAAAAACACTGGGCTAAACAAATTATGCATTTGTGGCCTTCTCATAACAGTCTGGGGAGAAATGAAAACATTCACATTAACATACATGATTGTGCTTCAGAGACTAGCGTCACATGGGATTTTTTAAACATTGAGAATAGAGCCAGCTATCTCATTGTGCTCATAAAAGTACTAATAGGAAACCTAACTGTTGGTAGATTCCATGCTAAAAAAGAGTGCCGTAACCATGTTTGACAGAAGGAAACATCATCTTCATCATCTTATGGCATTCAAATTTTCACACCTACCTTTTTAACATCTCACATAAACTACATATTTTCCAAAATATATGATCAACGCTTTCTAATTAATGGGTCTGGTTATTCCAGTAATTTCCGTGAGGACAATTATTGCAATGGCATACAATGGCATTCTATGGATTTTAACTTTGTTGCAACGAAGGTTATCATAATATTGGTTCATGTCTTTTGAGCTGGCTGGTCAAATTCCTACATATCCGAGTCAATAAATCAATACGGAAATTGCTTTGTGCAAAAGGGTATTGTCATTTAGAAACAGATAAAGACCCTGCCCAAACTGCTTAACCCTTTTGCTGCATTAGGGACATTTTTGGTCTTTTGCAGTTTAATTTCTTTGACCATTTTGGCTGTTTTAATGCAAATGGTATGAAATTTGGCAAAATTGTGACTTTTTGGATACATGTAAAAAATGTGATCCCATTTTGCAAAATATGTATAACACACACTGTGTAGATCAAATAGTAACACTCAGCACCATAAAGACCAAAAATGGCCCATTGAAACCCATTAAAACATTGTTTAAATCTGAGGCTGTCAGTAATACATGAAACATGATTTTTGCACAAACATCCTTTCATTTTGAAGCAAAAGCATTATATTTGCATTATACAGTGTATTCCACCAGATGACGTCACTACATATTTATTCCCTATGGGTGGAAATGCACCTTATTTTAGGTAATAGGCAATGTTTAATAGGTGGCCATTTTTGGTCTCTAACGCGCTAAGTGGGATTTTTTGCAAAGTGGGACTGTGATAATCCAAATCTAAAGTTTTCTCTTTGCATTTAGTTTATTGAAAATAATTGAATTTTTGTGTTTTTTTCCTCTTATACAAATCGATGGTTTCGCAAACAAAACTAGTAATTAAAGGGTTAAAATCCTGAAATTGAATACATTTTTGGTAGTTATGATGAGGACTGATGCTGGTTAAAAGATTTAACTTGGTAAAAGTGGAAAATAATAATAATATATAATATTTTAGGCAATGTTTAATATGTGGCCATTTTTGGTCCTTAATGCACTCAACGGTGTTAAAAATCTAATGCAGCACAAGGGTTAAACAAAGCTGGAAGAACAGAATCGTCTGGAGTTCCATTATATTGGGTAACATTACTGGGATAGTTAGGGTAAGTCAATTTAATCCATATAGGCGAGACATGATATGATGAACAGAGATCAACACACAGACATAGCAAATCAATTCTAGAAAACGGAAGCTCAAACATGCTTTCTTGATAAGCGAGAATCAATTAAGTTTATTTTGTGTATCACGGAAGCACGTTCAAGCTTCCTGCAAGAACCAGCAATGTTTGTTCTTGCGCGACAAGCAAGTACTGTTAAGCCCCAAGTTTAGCATATTTGTTGAGTTCTATGCATTGATCAACTTTTATATGTGAATAAAAGCCCAAATTAAATCTGTTCATCATTTAAAGCGAGCATGCCTCTTCAGACGACCTGGATTATGCCACTCGATTCATTTGGACTACCTTACAATTTTTTAAAGCATCAACATTTTGGTTGACTAGACTTTCAATGGAGGACAGCAATCTCTCAGGTTTCATGAACAAATACCATTTGTGGTTCGAAGATAAACAAAAGTCCCAAAAGATGAACATGGATGTGGAATGGCATGAGGGTTTTTGGGTGAACTATCCCTTTAAAGTTTGTTTTCACTGGAATTAATGGAATAGCCAAACTCGTTAATTAGAACGTGGTTTCCATACCTTTGCCCATATAATGCAGCATCTCATTTATCTCAGCCAATTCTAAAATAATAACAATTGAAATTGAGACTAATGATATAAAACATCTCTCTGGAAATTGTGGATGGTAAAGTAATTTACCAAAAGTCATGAGTAGAAATGAAAAGTTGGAACTGAGCTGAATCTATGCTACTTTTTGACAGTTACATCTGATAGCTCCACCACCCTCAATCCTGAGATCTGAATGGCCAGTTCTCAAAATGGCACTGGGAAAGCAGACATTAGGGTTTTGAATGAACTTTTGCATCTATCTATCATGTGACTCATGTCTTCATTTTCAAGATCTTTGAGTGCTCTGATCATTGGACAATCCTAGCACTGAAGTTTGCGAATACTGCGGGAAATTCTCTTAAGACCCTTCTGCCAGCGCTTCAGTGATGTGATGACTAAGTGTCCGTCCATCTTCTGGCCCATCACCAGATAAGCAGCGTTGATGTCATTCATTTCGTCGCACACGCACTGAAGACCATCTTTCAGCCAAAGCACTGTCTTCCCAAGGTCACGCTCAGTGATGCCACCATTTAGCTTGTAGATAGTCTTGCTCTTGGTTTCTGGAATGATCTTTGTGTCGCCATTCATGTAGGAGATCTCCTTGACTTTGATCTTTAAAGCTAGTGAGTGAATATGATTGAAGGTTGAGGACAATGGATATAAACAACTGCTTAACTTCATTGCAAAATCTATATATATACATATATATGATATATATGTGTGTATATACAGTTGTGTTCAATCTTCAAGCATTTTTCAGTTTATACAGTAAACTTTTGACTTTGTAAAGAAAAACGCAGACACTGCTATTCTTTTTGAACAGCCTTATATTCCTTTTTCTTCACTTTCTATAAAGTAATAACAAATGATTGATACATTTTTCTTCATATTTTGATTTAGAATAGAATGCACAGTGTTCCCAATGCATTTGTGTATATTGAAATAAAACTTATTATAAGGATTTTGAGCTTTACTCACTTTTTTTTAAACAGACTGATATTATTTTGAACACAACTGTATATGTAACCTTTTGGTTTTTCTCAACACTTAAAAATTCCCCAGTAATTCTTTGGAGATCATTTTCTCATTTTCACATAGTCTGCTGAAGAGTTTTAAGATGACTGAGAGTCCATCTTAAGCCAGTGAAAAACAGCCTTTGCTGGTTTAAACAGGGTTTCAGCAACTATATGGTGTTTTGGAGAACATTTTTTTTAAAGGTTCTTTAAGTTTTTGATCTCTTTAATGCACCAGATGGTTTTCAAAAGAAAAAGTCCCTAGTGGAAATTAAAGGGACAGTTCATGTTAGTTCACCCCAAATGAAAATGCTGTTATGATTTACTCCTGCATGTATTTTGTTCAATTGTAGAACACAAAGAAGGAATTATGAGAAATGTCTCATGGACAGTTTTTTTCTTCTTATTCCCCATACAGTTAAGTCACATCAAGTGTTGTTTTGAACCCCAGTTCCTTTAATTTTATGGGAAAAAATTGAAATAGTATACTGTACAAAATATCTAATTTTCTGTTCTTCAGAAAAAAAAAAAAAAGAAAGTTATATGCCTACATGTTTGAACATGAGGGCGAGTTAATGGTCTTAATTTTTGGGTGAATATGGCTCATATATAGCTTTAGGCTGCATCACCCATTTAGATAAAAAGAAACCTTTATTTTTAGGGGCCAAGCACCGAAGGTGCGGAGGCACCTATTGTATCTGTGCCGGTTCTTATTATTATTATTATTAGGGGCCAAGCACCGAAGGTGCGGAGGCACCTATTGTATCTGTGCCGGTTCTTATTATTATTATTATTATTATTCTTCTTCCGACTGGGCGTCTATGACAGCCCATAGACCGGTTTGCGGGAAAGTTGTTTTGGTTTGACATTCTGATAGAGGACAGTCCCAACTTTAAATACACCAATTTTGGTGTCTCTAACTCATTCCCTCTAGCGCCACCAACTGTCCAAAGTTGCACTTTTATTATGCTAATAACTTTTGAACTGTAAGGCCTATCAACAAAATTCTTTTTTCTTCTTGTTCCTGAGCTCATGCCGATTCGATCGCACCCTATGACGTCATTTTCCGTCATAAAAAAATGGCCGCCATTTTGAATTTTCCAAAAAACCTACTTTTGCGAACTCGTCCTAGACGGTTTGTCCGATTTTCACCAAAATCGCACCGGATCATCTCCAGGCAGTGCTGACAAAAAGTTATGGAATTCATGATGATTCGAATAACCGTTTTCGATAAGCGCGCAAACTAATTTTACGTAGCGCTTGCGAAAACAGACGCGAGGCTGTATCTCCGCAACGCTTACTCGTTTTCAGACCAAACTTTGTACGTGTCATCACAAGCATGACCTGAGGCTACGTGCTGCGTTTCGGCGCAGCGCCACCTAGTGGTCCGGAGATATGAAAAATGGCTATTTTTGCTCGTAACTTCTGAACGGTTTGTCCAAAAATCATAAACTTCATCTCGTTAGATTCAGGGCATCATGCCGAGTCGACTGATATCCAATTTTCCCAGATCGGCCATTTTGGCTGTCGGCCATTTTGAATTATGTGCTAAAATGCTGTATTTTTTGAACGCATGAACGAATTGTTACGAAACTCGGTATGGGTCATCAGTACGATGCCCTGAAGAAGCCTGAGAAGTTTCGAAACAGCGCCACCTAGTGGTGAATTGTTTTTTTCAAACGCTTATAACTTTGGGTGTGGTACACTTATTTTCACGGGAGTCATCTTTTTGAGTTCCTGAATCGTTGCCGAGTCCAACGATACTAAACATGCTGGGTTTCGTCTTACGGTTGGTGTAGCGTAGCGATTTAGCGCGAAAAAAACACTTGGCGATATCTTCAAAACCGCTGTTCCGATCGAGACGAAACCACCGCCAGAAACACGGAATCATAGCTTGTTAACTATATGCAAATGCCCAAATGCGAAAATATTGATAGTAAGGGGTAGTAAAATTCAAACAAAGTCATGTGTCAGTCATTTTTTACGTGTTTTTTCATATAAATGTTTATAACTCGGAAGCGAATTGAGATATTTTCACCAAAATTGACACACATATGTATGGGGTCACTCTGAGGACACACACAAAAAATTGTGGGACTGAGCCTCTTGGTGGCGCTATAATAGAACAAAACGTGAAATTCCCATTGACTTCATTAGAGTTTTGTGAATTAAAATGCTATACTAAACAAATGCATTGGTGTAATATTACGAAACTCAGTGTGTGCCATAAGCAGCATGCCCTGAAGGTACTCAAAAGATTTTGAGACAGCGCCACCTGTTGGTCAAAAGTTATAATTAATTTCTGAGAACGCTAATAACTTTTGAATAAATTTGCCTATTGCAATGAAACTGATCTTAATAGATTCCTTCGGTTATGCCGAAAACATAGATATCAGGTTTTCCATAATCAGACAAACGTCCTGTTCGCCATCTTTATTTCTTTAAAAAACCTTCTTTTTCGAACTCCTCCTAGACCGTTTGTCCGATTTTCACGAAAATTGAATCGTATCATCTCCAGACCGTGCCGACTAAAAGTTATGAATTGCACGATGATAGACAAAACCGTTTTCGTATACCACAGCATCAAATTTTAGGCATGCTGCCAAAATTACTATTTAGGCTTTATCTCTGCAATGCCTTCACATTTTGACACCAAACTTTGCATGTGTCATTGTCACCTCACTCTGACCACATCACATCTATTTCGTAACTGCGCCACCTATTGTTCGAAAGTGATAACCCATTAAATCATCTTATGAGTTAATGTTTATGTGATTTTCTTAGCCATTTGCCCAAAGTTCTCTCAAAATGCCCTTAATTGCTCCTTGCTGCAGTTGGTCTGCCACTCCTTGCCATTTTGGCATATGTTGCCGCTTTTTGCGCTTGGCCCCGGTAATGGCTGCTTGCAGCTATATTTATTATTATTATTCTTCTTCCGACTGGGCGTCTATGGCAGCCCATAGACCGGTTTGCGGGAAAGTTGTTTTGGTTTGATATTCTGATAGAGGACAGTCCCAACTTTAAATACACCAATTTTGGTGTCTCTAACTCATTCCCTCTAGCGCCACCAACTGTCCAAAATTTCACTTTTATTATGCTAATAACTTTTGAACCGTAAGACCTATCAACAAAATTCTTTTTTCCTCTTGTTCCTGAGCTCATGCCGATTCGATCGCACCCTATGACGTCATTTTCCGTCATAAAAAAACGGCCGCCATTTTGAATTTTCCAAAAAACCTACTTTTGCGAACTCGTCCTAGACGGTTTGTCCGATTTTCACCAAATCGCACCGGATCATCTCCAGGCAGTGCTGACAAAAAGTTATGGAATTCAAGATGATTCGAATAACCGTTTTCGATAAGCGCGCAAACTAATTTTACGTAGCGCTTGCGAAAACAGACGTGAGGCTGTATCTCCGCAACGCTTACTCGTTTTCAGACCAAACTTTGTACGTGTCATCACAAGCATGACCTGAGGCTACGTGCTGCGTTTCGGCGTAGCGCCACCTAGTGGTCCGGAGATATGAAAAATGGCTATTTTTGCTCGTAACTTCTGAACGGTTTGTCCAAAAATCATAAACTTCATCTCGTTAGATTCAGGGCATCATGCCGAGTCGACCGATATCCAATTTTCCCAGATCGGCCATTTTGGCTGTCGGCCATTTTGAATTATGTGCTAAAATGCTGTATTTTTTGAACGCATGAACGAATTGTTACGAAACTCGGTATGGGTCATCAGTACGATGCCCTGAAGAAGCCTGAGAAGTTTCGAAACAGCGCCACCTAGTGGTGAATTTTTTTTTTCAAACGCTTATAGCTTTGGGTGTGGTACACTTATTTTCACGGGAGTCATCTTTCTGAGGTCCTGAATCGTTGCCGAGTCCAACGATACCAAATATGTCGGGTTTCGTCTCACGGATGGCGTAGCATAGCGATTTAGCGCGAAAAAAACACGTGGCGATATCTTCAAAACCGCTGTTCCGATCGAGACGAAACCATCGTCAGAAACACGGAATCATAGCTTGTTAACTAAATGCAAATGCCCAAATGCGAAAATATTGATAGTAAGGGGTAGTAAAATTGAAACAAAGTCATGTGTCAGTCATTTTTTACGTGTTTTTTCATATAAATGTTTATAACTCGGAAGCGAATTGAGATATTTTCACCAAAATTGACACACATATGTATGGGGTCACTCTGAGGACACACACAAAAAATTGTGGGACTGAGCCTCTTGGTGGCGCTATAATAGAACAAAACGTGAAATTCCCATTGACTTCATTAGAGTTTTGTGAATTAAAATGCTATACTAAACAAATGCATTGGTGTAATATTACGAAACTCAGTGTGTGCCATAAGCAGCATGCCCTGAAGGTACTCAAAAGATTTTGAGACAGCGCCACCTGTTGGTCAAAATTTATAATTAATTTCTGAGAACGCTAATAACTTTTGAATAAATTTGCCTATTGCAATGAAACTGATCTTAATAGATTCCTTGGGTTATGCCGAAAACATAGATATCAGGTTTTCCATAATCAGCCAAACTTCCTGTCCGCCATCTTTATTTCTTTGAAAAACCTTCTTTTTCGAACTCCTCCTAGACCGTTTGTCCGATTTTCACGAAAATTGAATCGTATCATCTCCAGACCGTGCCGACTAAAAGTTATGAATTGCACGATGATAGACAAAACCGTTTTCGTATACCACAGCATCAAAGTTTAGGCATGCTGCCAAAATTACTATTTAGGCTTTATCTCTGCAATGCCTTCACATTTTGACACCAAACTTTGCATGTGTCATTGTCACCTCACTCTGACCACATCACATCTATTTCGTAACTGCGCCACCTATTGTTAGAAAGTGATAACCCATTAAATCGTCTTATAAGTTAATGTTTATGTGATTTTCTTAGCCATTTGCCCAAAGTTCTCTCAAAATGCCCTTAATTGCTCCTTGCTGCAGTTGGTCTGCCACTCCTTGCCATTTTGGCATATGTTGCCGCTTTTTGCGCTTGGCCCCGGTAATGGCTGCTTGCAGCTATATTTAACATTGTAACGCAGAAATACCACAACATTCATTCAGATAGCCTACTAAAAGCAAACATAAAACATATTGTATCCTTACCAAAGTCATTTTTGCACAGGCTGTCCACAATTTCATTGTCATTCTCAGACTTTTCTTTGCAGGCATCACAGACCTTTGGAACTGAGTAAAAAAAAAAAAGAAAAAAAATGAGAGAGAGAGAGAGAGAGGGAGAAAAAAAATCAACATATCAATTAAGGTAAAGGGTGAAGATGCATCTAAAAAGTGACTTAAACTTTCATACCTTCCTTGGTAACTGGCACTAATGCAGCGGGTGGTATGCACAGGTCATTATCCAGAGGGAAGCGATCACAGTCCAACATGTCCGGCCAAGGAAACCCAAAAGCGGCCATCACTGGAGCGCAGCCGCTCTTCACGTTCTCACACAGTGACCTGCACGGCTGAATCGGCTCGTCCATATCTTTCAGACACACCGGAGCGAACAGAGAGCAGAGAAACTTCTTGGTGTCCGGATGGCATTGTTTCTGCACCAGAGGGGTCCAGGAAGATGCCTGCTGCAGAACCTCGTTCATGGTTTCGTGTCCGAGAAGGTTAGGCAGACGCATCTCCTTGTACTCGATGTCATGGCACAGGAGCAGGTTTGCAGGTATGGGTTTGCAGTTGCTCTTTTTCTGAAAGAGCTCTGGCTGATCGAAGGCGTATAATCCATGAAGCGCATCCAGATATCCGGGTAAGGTAAGCGTAACCACCAGTGCCAGATATGCGCGCATCTTTATTTCAGTTTTGCAGAGACAGAAGTCTTACGAAGTGTTATGAATAACTGAATTCTCTTCTGTGCCAACCTGTTCTCCTAGGAAAGTCTGGGCGGAGCGAGAGAAGGCGCTCAGATGTCCACAGTTCGCGCTGTTTCCCCTGGATCTTAGCCTATAGGATTGATTTCACAACCCAGTTACCTACATCGCTTTTGGCCATCGAACGTTCGAACGGCGAAATAAATTATCGAATTTGTGGAAAATGTTTTCTCCCAACCAACCAAATCATGTTCTAAGAACGTTTTGCTAACAAATGTTATAAAAACGTTAGGCTATTTCTGTTCTCATTTCGTTCAAAACGGACCCAAACCTTACAAAAAATTATTCAAGCGCGCTATTAGTCTTCATTTAACAAGCTAGAAGTATGCCCTTGTCCGAATACTTTTTTTCAGAAATAACACATAAATAAAAGGTTACAAAAAGTGTTTTTTTTTTTTTTTTTTTTTTTTTCAGTGATGTCATTGGGTTCCTCAAAGAACCTTTCAGTGAACAGTTTTCATGGAACCATTGAACCATAGAACACACTCAAGTGAAATGAATGCAGATTGTTAAAGGATTAGTTCACTCAAAAATTAAAATGCTACTCACACTCATGTTGTTCCAAACCCATAAGACTTTCGTTTATCTTCAGATAACAAATAAAGATCTTTTTGATGAAATCTGAGAGCTTTCTGTCCCTTCATCAACTACCAATTTGAGGCTTTAAAAAGTTTATAAAGAGATTTCAAAACTAATTCAACTGAGCGGTTAAATCCAAATTTTCTGAAGAGACACAATCATGAACAGATGGAATTTATTCTCAAATAAACATGATCAGCTCAAAAGTGCATGTAACAGAGAACAAACCTCATTGGTTCTCGAATATAAAGCAAACATGCTTGAGCTTCCATTTACTACAACTAATGTGTGAGTTGATGAATATGTGAATAAAAGCCTAAATTCAATCTTCTTCAAATGTCTCTTCAGAATATTTGGACTAAACCACTGAATTCATGGATTAGTTTTACGATCTCTTTATGAATGTTTTGTGGTAGTTGCATAGCTGTCAAATGAGGGACAGAAAGCTCTCAGATTTCATCAAAAAATATCTTTTGTGTTCCGCAGATTAACGAATGTCTTACAGGTTTGGAACAACATGAGTATGAGTAATAAGTAATTTTTGGGTGAAGATTTACATTGACTTATTTAAATGACTTGATGATGAGGAGGAGGATTATGATGATAAAGCATGTTACTATGACAATATTTCATTTGAAAATATGCAAGATATCCATTCTCTTTTCTTTTCAAGTGATCAATTGATTTATGAGTTGCTGTAAGGCTTTCATTTGGTAGGTGCATAATTCATATTCTTTGGTGAATGATTCTGTGGTCTTTACCCTTTTCACACTCACGGTCATCTGTCATCATTAAGCCACAATTTGAGAAGTTCATAAGTTTATACAATATGGCTAACATTTTTCATCTATATATATGTGTGTGTGTGCGTGTGTGTTTGTGTGTGTGTGCATGTGTGTGAAGTGAAAATGAGAAAGAATGAGAATGATGGAGAAAACAAGAGAAAGAGAGCTGTTGAGTGAAACTGAACTCCTGCAATAGATCTAGTTCCTGCTTCATTCATCACTCTGTACGGTCCAGTTTTAAGCCACTGAGTGGGTCACACAAACAAACCCTTTCTCATCTCAAGACAGCCTCCCACCCCTCGTCCCTCTAGAGCTAAAGGAAGCTTATAGTTGACAGCAACAACTCTGAACCACATCATTTGTTAAGTGAAGACAAAGGTTCTTTATAGTGGAAAAAGGTTATTTTTAGATTATTAAAATGTTCTTCACACTAAGAAAAAATGTATACCACTAAATCAAAATCAAGTGAAATGCCATCTCTGCAAAAATCATTTTGAATCCTTTTTAAGAGTGTATCAAGAACCTTTTGTTGAATGGAATGGATCCATGGATGTTTAAGGTTCTTAATGGAACCATGCAGATGCCAATTAAAAACATTATTTTTAAGAGTGTATTGTAATGTGCATGCTATTTTAAGACCCATGTTTAGGGTTTCCTCAAGTCTTGCATTTTTGAGGAGAATGACGAAGGTGAAAATGTGCTGTGCTGTGCGGGTTTATGCCTTAAAAAAATGTTAACGGCAGCTTGTGTCGTGTGGATCATTTACAACACACTATGGGTTACAGTATGTAGCATTGTTAAGACACATTTTTTAGATCTGTCTTGTCACCAGATAACTGAGTAACAGTTTCTCCCGAAATCCTTGTGGAGAAATTCCCCTAAGGCTTCTAAAGGTCATAGGTTCAGAGGCCCCCATTAAATACAGGTTAGCTGCTGGGGTTTCCCTTCTTTGGGATCCTGCTGGGAAGAAGTAGTCATTTAAAGGCTTGTTTCAAGCTGTAAAGTGATAGCCCTTGGTCTCTATGACGATAAGACAAGTTTTGCTCTCTAGGAGATCTGTGTCCTCCATTTGCCCTTTTGTTGTGCTTATTTTGTGTGTATATGTCAATATTTGTCTGTCTAGCCAATGTAGAGGGGTTACTAATACTGATTAGATATCAGATGGTGTCTTCTAAAGTGATCATTCAGGGTCTCATTTTTATGAGCATTACAGACAATGCAGTTTTTTTATCAGTGAAACGGTTCTTATTTAAAATCAACTGTTCAGCTGTTGAACAGTCTTACATCAACTGCTTTAACTTAACCTAGTGTCAAACAGCTTAAAACTGGTTTAAATAAATTGAAATATTAATAAATCACCTTTCATCAAAATGACATAATGTTTACAAAACTCATGGTGACATTTCATGGTGAAGCTTGAGTTTGATTTAAAAATGGTTTCTTATCAGATTTACTCAGTGCTTTTGACCTTAGAGCCATTCAGAAGTGATTTAATAATGCCAAATGTCAATTTTAACTCCAAATGACCTGCTCCACCACCTCTAGATGTCATGGATTGATCTATAGTCCAGCTCCACCTCTGTGGATCTAATGGGTGGAGGAAAAGAGTTATGGGGAGGGTTAGGGTTGTGTATGCAACACACCCTGAAGGAGGGAACGGAGGACGTAGTTGACGGTCGACTGAATGGGGATCGCGTCAGAGAGCCAATGTTCTTTAAATACTATTGAACGCGGTGCGGGTATAAATATGGAAGTGGATGCACGCACTAGTTGCTTTTTTACTGAGGAGCCGAGCCTGAGTGTAACCCGGAGTCAGCGGTGGTCCAGAGGTAGTGGCAAGGGGACTACATCCTCTGTTCTTTCCTTCAGAGAACGGTGGGTTGCATACGCAACCAGGACGTTCCCTTTTAGTCGATAACGTCGGACGTAGTCGACTAAAGCTGCCACCTTCCAGTGCCTAGTCAAAAGCCTCCTAATGCTCCCACAATTTTAAGGCAGGGAAGGACAGGGCTTAGGCCAGGGAAGTCACTGCTGTTACTACAGGACCAATGGGAAAGTGTTCCCTGTACATTGGAAGGAAGAGACGCTGTGGATGCCACATCTAACCCGGAGGGAGGTAATGTGGAGAATACACATATGAACTGGGTGACACTAGGTGTCACTGGGGTGGCTCCAGCCTATGATGGGGGGAGACTAACCGGACAATGATGGCAGAGAGACTCTGCCAAAGGAAGACACAGGCTCTCTGTAGGGAGCCAGATCATGGAGGAGAACAGATATGGGATCACCGTAGGGACCGCAACATATGGACCCAGCCTAAAACAAGTTCTACACTCGCTTACGAGTGGTAGGCCTAAAACAAGATGTTTCGCACATCCAGTGTCGGAGGGGTGTGGAGGAACTCAACAGGGTTTGGTTTAAGGAACCTCAACTGGAGTAGAAGGCGCACATATCCAGTCCAAAGGAGGGGAATGACGCAGAAAGCCGACACTTGAACCGGGCTCATGGTGAAACTGGCTTCAGGAGAAGGGAGCCCACGGAAGCAGCGGTTTAAACTAGGTGTCGTCCAGCCCCCAACTCTAGAAATCTGTCAGCAAAGCACTCGTCAACCCCCAGGCCGAGCACACACTCATTATAGAGGAGCTCTATAACACCTAAGAGGACATGAGCTTCTCAGAATTTTTCACCGAATTGAAGGCAGCCACCATCAGTGGGCCAACTTTGCTTTGAAAACAGCCTTCTCTATCTGCTGAATCTAAGATAAGAGCTGGTCTGAGGTCTAAGGCTTGTGTTCTGTACACATCAAACAGCTATGAAGCAGACGGACAGAGAAAGTCAGGGCTGGGTCTGCCACCTCCTGGGCAGCGCTTGCAGGCTCGCCACATGATCCTATAACGGGAGAGGTTGGAACCTTGGGCACAATCCAGGCCGGGGTTTCAGCTCGTGAGAGTAGCCGGCGTGAACTCCAGGCACAATTTGTTGACCGAAAGCGAGCAAGTCCCTACCCTCTAGTAGAGACCATTCGAACAGGAGAACTGTATACACAGAATTTTTAACTCAGGGGCGGTCTCTACAGTGCAGTTGCACCAGAGATAAGGCCCAAGAGGATAAAGAGGGGCGCAAGGTTACATTTTCCTTAGCTCCCTCAGGACCTGATGATCAGGACGTACTTTCCATGCGTCTGCATCATGATGTGCGCCAAGACGGTGGTAACATCACTTTGAGAGTGAAGGAGCAGCCTACTCCACTCAACTTGCAGGAAATAGAGCACTGAAATGATCGAAAACTTTCAGGATCTCCTCACGGAGAGAAGACTCACTCAACGAATAGGTTTCACTTCTAAAGCGTATAAGCACACTACCTCTTTCCTTAGGGGGTGCTCGCAGAAGTGATGGTAACTACCACATGTTGCTGTGATAGCCACCTGAACCTCCACGTCCCATGTAGGAGCGGCCCGGAATCTCCTGGGGTCAGAATGCGGGTGCCATTACACCCCGTCCCTGAAAATGTGTTCAGGGGAAGTAAGGAAGGCTGTCGATGGAAGCAAGGTCTGGTTGGGCCAAAAAGGGGCAACTATCAAGACCTGCTCCACTCCTGACCTGGCACAGTAGGTGGCAGGCACACAAAAGACAGGAGCACTGCTCAA